TGTGTCGAAATCATCATCTCTGAATTTGAAATTTTCATAGCAAAAACAGAGTCATGCTCCACAGCTAATGTCTCCCCAAATGGAAAAACATGCTCATGAAATTTAACAACACGAGATACAAAATATTCTCAGGTTTTTACATCAAACAATTGCCACCCTTTCTTTCCGAATGGATAGCCAAGAAATACACACTTTTGACTTCGAGACTCAAATTTATCACCTTTACTTCATTGATTATGAGCATAACACAAACACCCAAACACACGAATGGACTCATAAGACGGGGGTTTTCCAAACAACATCTCATATGGTGTTTTTCCTTTAAGAAGAAAACTCGGAGTCCTATTAATCAAATATTATGCCGTCAAAGCACACTCCCCCCAAAATTTGATAGGCAATTTTCCTAGAAATCTCGAAGCCCGAGCTACATTCAAGATATGTTGATGCTTTCTTTCAACTCTCCCATTTTGTTGTGGAGTTCCAACACAAGAAGATTAAAAAATAATTCCATTTTTCACAAAATAGTCTTGTAGATGATTAAATTCGGTACCATTGTCACTCCGAACAACTTTTATATCTCTATTAAACTGACGTTTGATCAAGGCAATATTGAGAAAAGTAAATTCGACTTCAGTTTTATTGCTAATCAAATAAATCCAAACACCCTTAGAATAATCATCTACTATTGTTAAAAATAATCTTGCTCCACAAGATGATGGCTTTTTTTAAGGACCCCACAAATCAATATGGACTAAATCAAACAAACTACTAGCTTTATTCTCACTAATAGAAAAACTATCTCTAAATTGTTTTGCACGAGGGCATACATCACAAACATAATTATTCTTCCTAACAGAGTTACTCACAGGCGGAAGTAACTTTAGAACTTTCTTCGACGGATGACCCATGTGTTGATGCCAAAGATCCACCACACAATCCACTGCTAACACCTTCACTTGCGGTACACCACGGAAAAAATAAAGTCCATCTTGACGTTCACCCACTCCAATCACCGTCCTCGTCAACTGGTCCTGATTAACACAAATTTTGTTAGTAAATTGAATAATACAACTCAGTTCATCACTAAGTTGCGTGACAGAAATTAAATTGCAATTTAAATGGGGCACAAACAACACATTATCGATCAACAAGCCACCCTCTAGTGTAACCGAACCCAATTGATTCGCATTCACCGTTTGACCATCCGATAATCCCACCGGACAATTTTGTATTGTCTTTATATTTTTCATAATCGAAATATCATTAGTAACATGGTTAGACACTCCAGTATCCACAATCCACAATCCACAATCTTACATTACCTTCTAATCGAGACTTAGATTTATTATTAATGATTTGTTGTGCTTGATCCAGAGTCACTCCCGTCAAACCTTGTGTAGACAATCCTTGGGAACTATGGCTTGTGTTGTTGTTAACTCCTCCTTGTAGAGCATTTGCTCGATGTGTGGAAGTTGTAGAAGAATTTCCACTCCCCCCACCTGGATTACTACCCCCTCTTCCTCCACGAGAGCTAGAACCGCCTCTACCATGTCCTTTTCCACCCTTCCTATTCTCATCCCATCCTTCAGGAAAGCCGATCAATTGATAGCAACCCTTCTTTTCATGACCGACCCTATTACAATGAGTACAAAAGGGCTTCTCTCCATCACCCGTACCTGAGAATCGACCTTAAAAGTCATAACACTCTCCTTCGGCTTCCCATCTCTAGCCCGAAGTCTCTCGGAGTTGATCACTGTTTGATAAGTACTATCCACAAGCGGAAGAGGTGATTGTGCTAACAATTGAGCTCGAATGGCCTCGTAGGGATCATCCAGACCAATCAAGAAATAGTGTAAATAGTCTTCTTCGCGAATATCACTCACTTGTTTCGCGATATTGCTTCCGCAAGAACACTTCGGAACCCTAAAGTATTGAATTAGCTCCTTCCATACTTTGGACAATCGGCCAAAATAATCTGTCACCGTCTCCGAAGACCCTTGCTTACACTCACTTAAAGCTTGCTTGAGTTGACAAACTCTCGTCCCATTAACAACACAATAACGTTGCTTCAAATGCATCCATAATTCAGTCACAAGGTCATAGTCTCCAATAGTGGTACGCAAACTATCCTCAAGAGTATTAGGGACTTACGACACTAACATAGAATGAACTGCAATCCAATGTTTCTTTTTGGTGGAGTCCACAGGTTCTTCAACTGAACCGTCTACGAAGCCGAATTTCCACTTCGCTATCAAAGCTCTCCGGATAGCCTTTGCCCACTCATCATAGTTTTCACCTTTCAGCTTTACCGGTGTAATAACAATACCCGGATGATCACCCGATCCGAGATGATACTCAAGATCAATGGACGGCGGTGGTGGAGGAACGTTATCATCTTTCGTCATGTTCACACTCCCTCGCACAAATAATCGTCACAGACAAGTATGCGGAAAAAAATAAAATAAAATTTGGAACCCTAAACCTAGGCTCTTGATACCATGAAAAAATAAAATCAACTCCTCAAAACCCTCTCATTAATTCAATCAAACGTATGTATAATACAATAGTTTCCTAGCTCCTAACCCTTTCACAATAGGAAACACAATAAGATAGACTAAGATACAATAATAAGATATTCTAGAATATATTGCACAATATCACAATATTTCGGCCAAATTAGAAAATAACACCCAAAAAAACCCCCGATTTTGATATTAACACCACAAAAAAAAAGTTTTATTATAACACCACCAAAATCCCAAAAATTTGGTTTCACCACCCACTAACGGATTTTTGGATGGAAACCGTTAGTGGAAATGACACGTGTCAAATGCTTATTGGTTTAAAAATAATAATTTAATAACAAGAAATATTAAAAAAACAAGAGAAAATCCTAAATCCAAAATCCAGCCAGCTCCACCATCGGCACCATCTTCCCTAGCCGCGCCGAGAGCCGAATTTAAGTCGTTGGCACTCCCTGCCCCCACCAATACTGCCGAAACCAGCCCTTACTCTCTTCCCCTCCCCAAAAACCACCCCAGCTTCGCCTAGCCTCACAGATCCAATCACGCGCGCCACTACGAACAACCAATCCCACCTCTTCGAACCACCGTAAATATCGATTCGCACCGTTCCGATGGATTGTGGTTGGTATTTGCAGTGGCTCGAAGGTGTTGGGGTTCGAATTCGTTGGATTGTGGTTGGGGTTTCGGCAGTTTGGCGATGGTGATGTTGTTGTGGTAAGCGGTGATTTGCGGTGGTAAGGCAGGGTTAGGGTGGTTTTCGGGGAGGGGGAATGGAGAGTTTCGCCGGTTTAGTGGGGTAGGAGTGCCGGCGGCTTGCGTTAGGCTGTCGGCGGTGGGGGACATGTGGGTTTCGCTGGTTTTGGTGGGGCAGGAGTGCTGGCGGTGGGGGAGACAGGTGGTGCCGCTGGTGGGGTTGGGCTGGGTTAGGTTGTTTAGGGTTTTCTTTCTTTTTTTCTTTATTAATTTTTTTAAACCAATGGTTTAGTGACACGTTTTGTTGTGGGCCCCACTAACAGTTTCCATCCAAAAATTTGTTAGTGGGTTGTGAAACCAAATTTTTGGAATTTTTGGTGGTGTTATAATAAAACCTTTTTTTTTTTTTTTTTTTTTTTTTTTTTTTTTTTGTGGTGTTATTATCAAAATCGTGTCTTTTTTCTGGTGTTATTTTCTAATTTGGCCCAATACTTCCTAAATTATATGTTAACAATTATACATAAGCACCAACAACAGTTTACCTTGATAAATTGCATATTACCTTGATAAATTGTGATACACCAGTACTACAGTGAAGCTAAAAGTGAAAGACAACACAAAAAAATAATCAGAAGAATCAACATAAATATCAGCGAGAAATGGGATAAATGAAAACTAATACAATAACGACTGGAAACTAAGATTAATTTGACATTACCAAATACAAAGTAGTCGTCTTCATGTAGCTTCAATCATGATTTGAGAGTTAAATATTTGAATTTCATACCATGATTTGCAGTGAAGCTTCGGAAATATGACCGGAAAAATCAATTGGAATTCTTAATGATAAATTTGAAAGCAAGTATAGCGATTGAGTAATTTAGGGTTCGTAATTTGATCAACAACAGGTCAATCAATTGCCGGTCGAAATATTTAGATTAGTGGAATTGAAATTCTATACAGATTATAATAACAATCTTGTGGTTTTTGAGGTTCAATTTGGTTGCAATATTCTTTTGCTTAGTTGAAGAAACATGATAGAGAAAAATATTGGGATTGTTGTTGTTGCTTTCATGAATGAGTTGATTGCTCATGGCACGTGTGAGATTTGGATTTACAGTAATATATATATATATATATATATATATATATATATATATATATATATATATATATATATATATATATATATATATTTTGACGGGTGGATTTACAGTAATATTACTGTACATCCGGGGCACACAAAAACTGACAATATCATCTTATAACTTGTTAAAGATATGTGTTGCCCACTTTTCCTCATTAGTGGATATAAGAGGTTTATCATGAACTACTATCAACCCTAATTGTTTTTTAGGATTAATAACTTCTTAGTCCATTTTTATTTTTTCTACTCACTTTGCCTTATACGGTTTTTGGCTTACCCTTTATACCATCTTACCCTTTCAACCAAGCAATAATTACACAACTTTATCATTCTTTTCTTAAACTAACTCACTCTTTTTACATTCCTGGTCTTACTTTAACCTTGACATTCTTCAATATATTCATAAATTGTCTATCTATAGTGATTGAGTATAACATAAAAGAGCGAAGGGGTATTAATAAACGTCTCAATTGTGTGTTTCGTATAAATTGAAACTAATGTGATAGAAATCTAGCAGTATACCCATGGTACCATGCATATTCAAGAAATTCCAAGCATTATGCTAGAGTTGCCGTTGTGCGAATAAAATAGAAGAGGCTAAAAAGGCATTACGTAACTTTATGTCAACCGACAACCTTTTCTCCTCATCAAACTACCTTTGAGAGTTGAACTTTTTAACAAATGAAAATATTCTTTCCTTAATCTCAGTTTACCCTTTCCTTGTTAGTTGCGGCAACACCAGACTTTGGTTTAGCCCAACAATTATCCTTTGCTTCATAATATGAACAGTTACCATATAAACCCAGAAATCCCATCTTCTCTATTAAAGCTCTGTATATCTCATTTTGCTTATATCTATCTGAAGCCAAAAACTGTACCAGGAGCATAACAGTCTGCAAACATGGGTATTCTTGCAAAAATTGCTATGAGTTTCGATGCACTTATTGGGTTAGCCCTCCTTTTTTACTTCTAGTTTACAAGTTATTTGTTGTTCCATTTTCGCCTGAATTTTTTTTTTTTTGATTAAAACTTGATTGTTCCTGTGCCATTTCAGGCCTGGGCTGATGCTTCTGTATCCACTGTAAGTTATACTTCAATAGTTATTTCATTAGCAGAAAATCATTCAGCAAAGTGCAATATTGAAGATTGCTATATAACAGATATGCATCTATGCGAGCAATTGAGAGCCCTTCAACACTGGATGATCAACAATGGCTGACATACTGGATTCTTTACTCGTTGACAACTCTCCTTGAGCTCTCATGTTGGAGAGTCCTTCAATGGTATCTTTATTTATGGATCGATAAATGGTGATCATATAATGTATTAGCAATAAGAAAAGCCAAGTCAATTAAAATAAATTTCCCAAAATGTTGCAGGCTTCCTTTCTGGCCATATGTAAAGCTCTTGTTTTGCATGTGGTTGGTGCTACCAATCTTTAATGGCGCTGCATACATCTATGAGAACTACGTCCGCAAGTATGTGAAACTTGGGTTGTCGGTTAATTCCAACTATCCTCAGGGCCACCGTCAAGTGCTCCAATTGATGTCTCTTGATGCTCGGAAATCTGTTGAGCGCTACATTGAGAGATATGGGCCTGATGCATTTGAGCGCGTTGTCAGAGCAGTAAGATGCAAATTTTAATCTCTAACTTCTATCTTGTCCCTGTTTCTCAGTCATAATGTATCTACAATAATACTAATATGCTTGCAAAACATTGCAGGCTGAAAAAGAGGCAAAAAGGCAAAGCTAAGGATGTCAATAAAGATGGCTTTTTCCAATAGATCAGTTATATAACGTTCATTTCAATACTGTTTGGCAACTCCTGTAACTTTGTATTATAGAAATGTTTTTATGAAAAATTCTAACAGATATTGTAAAAGCAACATATACGATTCTGAAAAAAGAATGTAATTAAAATTTGGTGAATGAGGAAGATGACATAAACTATCATATGTAGACATTCATTCAAGTTCTAGCTTTACATACTAAAGCAATACAATCTCTCATCAGCTTTATTGACCTCCATTTAACAATCCATCATAACAAAAGATGCATTCATTGTTTTATATACTTGCTCCGAGAGTTAGAAATATGGGGAGGGGGGGGGGTGGTTGTGGAGGAAAAGGTACACATAACACAAGACAATTTATCTTCAGCCCTCCCATAGTTTCTATAAACTGCGGCTAGTAATACCTATTAAAGCAAGAACATCATAACATAACTACTCATAATGGTTACCTTCAACCTTAATTTCTCTAAGTACGACCTTTGACAAGGTTCAAAGAGAGGGAGGCCATTGATTTTGTGATATTAAACTACAATGCTGGCAAATGATATGAAATGGCATTGTTCCATTTACAATGCCATATGCCATTTCACTTACTTTATGGGAAAGAAATAAAAGGAATTTCCGAGCTTTTCAGAACATGCAGATGGTTGTCATCAATCTCTCCCTCACTTTTCCACTTTCCTATAACAGTAAAGCCGTGTTTATTAATTTTCACTCCTCCCTTCTAATTGCTAAGATTAAAACATGATTAATATGGAGTATACGAAGTAAATATTTGAAGTAACGTGACAAAAAATTCTCATGCATCAAATGATGAGAAATCTGTATTGGCCTACTGCATAATATAAGCTATGAACCAATGCACCACAAACACAAGAGGAGAAATGTAAAGGTTATAGCAGCAACTTACTATTTGCATTTCCCCTTTGGTTTCTTTTTAGAGCTCTCAACATCTTCATCACTCGTCTCATTGTCATCAGAATCATCATCTTGTGTATCATCTTCTAACTCCTCATCATCAGAAGATGGAGATGGATCAAGACGCACCGCATCCATAGCCCACCTTATAACCTTCTCTACTTCATCTTCCTCTTCATTGTCAATGATAGCTTTACCTTCCAAACTGCCACCAGCAAGCTTATCCTCAACAGAAACATCTGATGTCTCAACACCAACAAATGAAGAGGAAGCAGAGGGAGATGGCTTAGGCAAAGAGGCCTTCAGAGCTGCAAATCTGGCTAATAATTCATCCTCCTCAATCTCTTTGTTCACTTCAGCAGACTGTGGTGGAGGTGTTTTTCTGGTTACACTCTCTTTCTTTGTCTTCGATTTAGAGCCCATCTTAAGGTCCCTGAATCGCTGCTCTAGGTCTGGGTGTAGATCAGAAGGGGAGGCATGAACTGTGTGTGAGTTGAGGTTAATTTTTAGTAAAGCTGCATCCTCTGCAGCCCTAAGCAATTCTTCAACCTCATCATTTACATCTTTCGTGTTCTTTTTATCTTGGCTCATACTTCCCTTTTCTCTTAACAAGCGCACGCGCACACACACACATAACCCCCCTACTATCTATCCCTCTGGTCAGATGAAAGGATCGTCACTATAATATCTGAGACAGCTGAAAAAACCAACCTTAGAATGACAGTACAAAGAGCTCAAAACAAAAAGAATGAATTACGAACAGCTATTTGTACCACCACCTAATTGCAAATTCAGCAAGCAAACATGTAGAATTTAGGACTTATACGAGTATCTGTCAACTGAAAGGAATTCAACAGAAACTATAGAGATTTTAGACAGCATGATTGCCTAAAATTGTCAAATTTAGTTCTCAATGCTCCAATCCAGCAAATAGTTTTTACCTATTACCAACTAATCCATCCAATGAATCGCGCTACACACAGAAACTGCGAATCACATCAACAAATAACAAATTATGCATCAATTACAATACCCCATCACTACTTTATCAGTAAAACAAAAGTTAATTACAACCCATCAACATGATTAATCGCAGCAAGCTAATCAATATTCAATACACAAGCCAATGAGCAAAATAATCAAATTCATGAATAATAATTAAAAAAAAAAAAAAACATTGGCAATTTTGCAGCATAATTCGTTTGAAACAAGAAAAAATTCATGATTTCATAAATACTTTTTTTTTCTTAATATAATAATAGGCAGTATGATCGAACATTACCAATGAATTAAGCTAGGGAAGCGAAAATTGAACATATTTCTATGTACCAATTGATCAAATCAACGAAGGTTAAAAATCAGTACCTGGTAGATTGCAGAGAGATTATAAGTCACGATTGACTTGAAATAAAATACTGTATACTGAACCCAAATAAAGTACTAGTCCAGAAATTTCACACTCACATTGTGACTACCTGTCTACCTCTACTTGCGATTTATTTACCTTAGATTTTTTTTTTATTTTTTTTTATCCATATATTGCCTTGGAAAATTTAATAACAACAAATCAATCTTTGCCCCATTCTCCCAAAATGGATTAACCTTAAAATCTTCCTAAAATAAACTTAAATTTATATTTTTTTTCTCCCAAAATGAACCCAACAGGTCACCTTACCCGTTATACCAAGTAAAAATCCACGTGTCATTAAATCATTGGTCAAGGTTTTTTTTTTTTATTTATAATATATATATATATATATATACAAAAAAAAAAGAAAAAAAAAAAAAAACCCAAACACCCTTCCACATGCCAGCCACCCCACTGCCACCTACTAAGCCTGATCCCCCTGCCCCTGGCGCTGACTGGCGCCCAGAACCTCCTCCCCCGGTCGCCGGCGTCGGCTATATCCACACCTTAATAACCTTCACCACCTCTCGCCATCAAAACCACCATCAATCACTAACAACCTCCATCTCCACCTGCTGCACAAACAGAGCAGCACCAACAACCCACATCTGCCGCACAAACAGAGCAGCACCATCTCTCCTCTTCTCCTTCTCTCTCCCCTTCTTTTTTCTTCTGTCTTTTGTTTCTGCCTCCTTCTTCTTCTCTTTCTCTCTTCTGTTCTCTTCTATTCGCTTTCCTCTTCTCTTCTTTTTTTATTTCTCACCGGCTAGTGTGGTTGATGGTGTTCACAGTGGCAAGTGGGTGAGTGTGGTTGATGGTGTATGTTCACGATGGCAAGTCCGGTGGAGGTCGATTTCTTGCCGGTCTGGGTTCATAAATTCAAGGCTAGGTTAGGGTTTGCAGGCAGATCTGGGTTGTTGTGGGGTGTTGGGCGAGTTTAGAGGTGGTCGGATTGGCAGCCACTGTCAGGTCGTGGTGCACTGGTTACAGGGGGAAAATAGTTACAGGTGGTGGCGAGGTTGGGAAAGATAGTGTGTGCGTGTTGTGGGGATGGGAGCAGGGGATGTGGACAGGGGGTGGAGGTTGGGGGGTGAAGGTGGACAGGGGGTGGAGGTGGGAAGTGTTTAATTTGAGGTTTTTTTAAAAAAAAATTCTGTTAGTGGCGGTGGTGGATGATGATGGTGGTTGTATGGCAGTGAGGTGAGGGGTGAGTGATCAATTTTTTTTTTGGAAAATTTCACTTTTGCTACCACCAAAACACATGTGTTTCACTTTTGCTACCCATTTAAATTTTATTTTTATTTTACTACCACCTAAAAGCACATTTGTTAAAATTTGCTACCAGTTGACGGAATCTATAACTATTGCCGTTTGTGGGCCCCACTTCAACGGTTCTTTTGTTAGTCTCCTCTCTTTAAATAACTGCTTCTATCTTCTCTAAAGCTGTACTCTTACAGAAAAAAAAAATAAAAAAAAAAAGATCAATCAATTCCCATTTGACGAAAGACGAATTTTGTTGGAGAATTTGACAAATTCAATCAATTGTGAAGCGATTTAGCTCAGAAGGTGAAAATTGCATTCGAAATTTAGGGCTATTAAGGTGAGCACCTTTAATTAAGCCAATGAATTCCTTTATGCGAAACCAATTAGAAGATTAAATTGCACTTTACGTTCAAATTATTGCTGGTTAATTGTATTTGTGAGTGTTTAGGAATGATACAGAATCCGAATTTGATTTTCAATTGGTTTAATTGGTAGTTTATTTATTTCATTCAATCGAATTAGGGTTCATATCCCAATTGAAATTAGGGGTTATCAATTGAGATATGCATGGACGAAATTTATGGTGATGTTTGGTGAATAATGAATGTATGAATGTAATTGTTGATAAATCTGGTTGAATTGCAGGCTATAATGTCATTGATTAGGTGTTCTCCCTCCAAACAGAGGAAGTGTGACTGTGGGATTCCTATGGCTAGGTTGACATCATGAACAAGAGAGAACCCTGGAAGGAAGTTCAAAGCCTGCAAATTCTATGATCCTAAAACAGAAAGTAGGGGTTGCAAGTGCTTTGAGTAGATGGATGAGGAAGAAGGCACTGACTGGCAAAGGGATGTCATCAATCAACTTCTACTGGACAAAAAATTGGTGAAGGGAGAAATCAACTCACTGCAGAGAAAAGTTGAAGATTTAAGTGGGCAAAGAAGGTGTTTGCTAATTGAGAATGACAACCTGCTAGTGAAGTGCAAAGCTCTAAATTTTGAGAGGAAGAAATACAACAAGAAAGGGCAACAAATCTGTGTTGGTGGATGCACAGCTGTCCTAGCAATTACTATCTGTTGTGTATTTCTGATTGTACTTGTTTTAGTTGTATTCAAATGAGATTAGGGTAGTGCAAGTGGGTTAGAGGTAATGATTGTGTATTTAGATGATGTTGGTTTAAGACAACAACTTCTATATGTAAGACTTTGAATTATTATGAATGAAAGTTGCAATGTTATTTTGTAGCAATAAAATAGTCTTCCTTTCAATAGCAGTAAGCACTAAAGTGCATGGAGAACATCAAAGTTAAATTCTGATAGTTAGTTGTTACAGACAATTAGGGTCAAACCAAAGTTCACCTAAAAAAACTAGTAGCATAGTTGCAGGGTACATTAAACACATGGATAAAAGACCTAGGTACTTAAAAAACTAGTACAACCTAATTTTTCTTATTTTTCCCTCTCCCTTACTTTGTTGTTGACTGTGTTGCTGCTGTTGTTGTTGTTGATGCCTGGGATTCTTGGGTGCAGGCTGCATGTTCTTGGGATGGTCTCTCTTGAGGAAATGTGTTGTTAGCTATGCTCCATGGACCCAGAGTTCCACCAGTCTGTATTTAAAAAAAAATAAAAATAAGAAGAAGACGGAAAACCATCAAAATCTTACAGTTTGGGCAGGATAATTTACACACCTTCCTAGCAACCCTTGCCTCCTTCCTCCTTTGTTCCTTCATCCAATCATTTTGCAAAACTGGTTTGCATGCTTTGTTGGCCTCAGGTGGAGCTGCAGGAGCTTGCATTGGTGCATTGCCACAAGTCTTAGCATAATGACCAAGCTGTCCACAATTGCCACACCTCTTCTATCTTTTCTGTGCTTTTGGTTGTCTACCACTGCACTCAGGTGCTCCCTCTCCTCTCTCCAACTTTCTTTTCTTTGACTTTGGCCTCCCAGGCATAACTCTTACTGCTGGAGGCAGGGGCTCTCTGAGATGATGCTTTTCCCAATGCTTGGGTCCAGTAGGCTTCACAGCTTCCTCATATGCACACAGATATTTCTGCCTTGTGTAATACACATCCACAAAGTCTTCTGGGTCCACACTCTTGTCCAATATGCATGCAAACCCATGTACACATGGAATACCAGTTAACTGCCAATGGTAATATGTGCAAGTCATCTTACCTAAGTCAACTAGCACTGTATCACCATTGAGCTCAACCTCATAGGAGTCTCCTCTTGAAACCTGCACTATGTAGTGCCTTGCGGCCCTCTCAACCCTCTGAAAAAGCTTAGTCACATAGGGCATCAGCTTCCCATCCATTTTCTTGGCAGCCTCCCATTTCTCATTATGCCTCTTCATCATATACCTTCTTATCCACTTTATCTGAGTGAGTATTGGCTTGTCCCTTGCATCTCTTATAACAACATTGAATGTCTCACAGACATTGTTCAATAGCATATTTGATTTGCAATCAGAAGAAAATGCATGCCTAGACCAGTGCTTAGTAGGAATGTTATCTAGATACACATATGCATCTTTAGACAGGAATTTTATTGATTCCATTGCCACCTCAAAGTCAGCCTACCACATCATACAAAAAACAACAGAACAAAATCAATGTTTCTTGTACCAAAACTGACCAATGTGTCCAAATTCAGCCAAAAGTAGCAAAATGAATCAAAGCACATTGAACTCAGGTGAAAAGATTGACATTCAACACAGTCCACAAGGTTGACATCAAAGATTTAGCAAGCAAACATTCAACTCAGTTTAAGTAGATTGACATTCAACTTAGTTTAAGCAATCAATCAAAGTTCAAGCATTTCCTACATTCAACTAAAGTTCAGTGACTCACCAATGTTGTAGCCCTAGCAGCATTCTAGAAGAGCTCTTTGAAGGTTAATCCACTGAATTGAAGCTTGAAGTAGGCCCAGATATGCCTGACACAGAATCTCTTCTCAGCAAATAGGACTTGCAATTCAAAGCTTCAAGGAGACCCTGTATTAACAATCAACACATTAGTGCATAACTACTCATATCATATTAGTTACTATAAATAGACTAATTAGGGCATGTAAGCTCACCTTTTGTCTGTCAGACATGAATGTCAACCACCACCTTCACACACATCACCAAGGTCCTTTTTCAAACACTCCAAGAACCAGCACCATGTGTCCTTATTCTCCACTTCAACTGTAGCCCAGGCAAGTGGATATATGTTATTGTTTCCATCTTTTCCAACAGCCACAAGTATTTGTCCTGGGTAGGCTCCCTTTAGATGACAACCATCAACACCTATCAGAGGTCTGCATCCTTTTATGAAACCACTTTTCAATGGTTGAAGACAGATGTACATCCTCATAAAAAGTGGTGGTTCAAGGTTGCTTTGTTCCCCTTCTACCACTATGCACACCCTAGAGCCAGGACTGTACTTAATTACAACTTTTCCATAATCCCAAACCCTGGCATATTGCTCTACAGCTGACCCAAAAATCATCAGCTTTGCCCTAGCTCTAGCAAGCCAAGCTTTGGAATACCCTACTGTTATGCCTAAGTCACTCAACACCCTAGCCCTAAAACTTTTTATTTTCCAAGTTGGGTTGTGCCTCCATTCCTCAACATACTTCTCAGTAAGATACTCAACATTCACCATTGAATTCATCTTACTCCTCAGACACCTATGTTGTAGCCTCAAATCTTTGATTTGCCAAGCATGACTGTTGTACAATCTTCTAGCAGCCACCTTAAAATTACACTTTTTAACCTTATCACTACACTTGCAGCTCCCAAGCACTTTGCTTCTTTTGGAATTCCACTCACACCTACACTTTCTCTTACAGAATGTGGTTATCCTACCACCGCCATTGTGCAGATAGTAATACTCATATCTGTTCTCTATTACATGTGTCCTCAAGGCTTTCCTTAGAATGGTGCTATTGTAGAACTGCAGCTTCTTCACTAGCACAACTGCTTTTTTGAAATCAGTTTCATGAAACCTAGGACTACCATCTTCTTCCTCATTTGACCCAT